GAGAAAAAAACTTAATTTGTAAGTAGAGTGCGCAATGCGCACTTATTTTATCGCGAAATTTGTTCATAAATTGATACTTTTTATTGTCTTGCCTGTTTTGTTTAATTCCTATAAAGACCAACACAACCACCACACCAATAATAATACTGTAATATCAAAATAAAATTCGCATGCTCGTATTTTGCGTTATTTACCAACCTCGCTTTCATAAGAATCCGGAGGTGGAACTGCGTGATAAGAGCTACCTTGTTTTTTGTCTTCATATGGCGACGTTGGAGGTGAGGTTGTAGTGCTGGGAGTTGTTGATGACGCTGATGGAGCTGGCGGAGCCTGCGTAGCTGGCACTTGATACCCTGCGGTTTGATAATTAGCTGCAGTTGGATATCCAGCATATCCATAATAATAACTAGCATCGACTGCTTGTGCAGCAGTTTGCTGATAGTAAGGATATTGAGAATATGGATAATATCGAGATTGATTGTAAGGGTTATAAGGATTCCAAGCAGTAGCTGTTGCAGCGTTTTGGCTACCGGCAGTGTAAGCATTACTAGTAGTGCTAGCGTTATACTGACTAGAGGTACTAGTAGGCGAAGAACTTGTCGTTGTAGCTGTTGTAGCTGTTGCAGCTGTTGCAGCTGTTACGGCTGTTACGGCTGTTGTTGTTGTAGCTGCTGTTGTTGAAGACGGCGGTGGTGGTGGGGGATAATTGGGAAGTGGAGGTTGTGATGTTGCAGTTGAAGTAGTTGGAAGTGGAGGTGGAGGTGGAGGATTTCCAAGTGGTGGCGGGGGACCACTAGGTAATGGAGGATTTGCAGGTGGAGGAGGGTAAGTCTGTAATTTGAATTATATTAATAAAATATTAAAAATAAAAAAAAAATAAAAATAGAAATAATTTGTATATTAAAGAATTCATACCCCAGAGGGTGGTAATCCTGGTTGTCCATAAACAGGTGGACGTGGATACGGTGACCTGCCATACGAAGAATATGCCGCCTGTTGTGCTTTGTGTTTATCCCATTCTATTTTTACCGTGTTAATAAGGTCTTCGCATAATTTTTTTGCCCTGTCCAGTCCTTCTTGACTCCAACAACTATAATAGAGAATGAGTTTGAATCTGTATCTATTTGTTAATATCGTATCGATCGGTCTAAAACATACGTGATGTGAATATGAAGTGGTTCAAAAGCCTCGGTCCCCGAAGTGGGTTCAACATAACCCGATCCTCGACCTTTAAGCTGAACCTTCGCACCCGTCTCTTGTTGAATATGCTTT